GCTTGTGGGATTTCAATTGGGATTACATTGAATCTATACAGCAGTTTTGGAAGCATGGCCATTTTTACTATGGTCGTTTTTCCAACAAGGAGCAAGGAATATCTTTCCATTAACTGATATACTCTTCCATCTCTTTTTTTTAAAAGGATGTATATTGAGTTTATTGGTACATTTTAGGTATACAGTACAGTTACATTCATTATTCGGATCTTGTACCTTTACATGACAGGTCTTGGTTCTCATTTTTTTCCCCTTGTCCCTGCCCTCCCATCACCCCCTCCTCCCCTCCCCATTTACAAACACTTTATTTCCATTTTTTTGATTTTCTCATATTTTTTTCTTTTCCCTTATTCCTTTTCCATCTCTTTTTTCAGAGTTCTATAGGGTTTAGAGTAGAGGTGTTTGAAATCTTTCATTAGGTTGATTCCCAGGTATTTCATTTTTTTGGGATACTACTGTGAAGGGAATTGTCTCTCCAGATCCACTTTCAGGGAGACTTTTGCTTGTGTACAGGAAAGCTATTGATTTTTGTGTGTTGACCTTGTGTCCCATTACTTTAGTGAACTGAATATTAAGTCTAGAAGACTTTTGGTGGAGTCCTTGGGGTCTTCTACATAGAATATCACATCATGTGCGAATAGTGACAATCTAACTTCCTATCTTTGTTCCTTTTATTTTTTTCTCTTGTCTAAGTGCTATAGCTAATATTTCCAAAACTATATTGAGCAGGAGTGGTGATAGTGGATATCCTTGGCTTGTTCCCAATTTTATTGTGAAGGATTTCAATTTTTGACCATTTACTATGATATTGCCTGTTGCTTTTTCAGAGAGGACTTTATCAGGTTAAGGTAGAGACCATGTATTCTAATTATTTGCAGGGTTTTATCAAGAATACATGGTGGATGCTTGTCAAACACCTTTTCTTCATCTTTTGAGAGGATCATATGGTTTTTGTCCATAGCCCTAATAATATGGTGTATTACATTTATTGATTTATGTATGTTGAAACACCCCTGCATCCTTGGGATGAATCCCATTTGGTCCAGGTGTATGATCTTCTGCATTCTGTTTGCCAGTGTCTTACTGAGGATTTTTGTGTCTATGTTCATTACTGAGAATGGCCCATAGTTCTCTTTTTCAATTGGGTCTTTGTCTGCATTGGGGATCAAGGTGCTGCTTGCATCCAGGAATGAATTTGGGAATATTGCTTCCCTTTCAATTTCATTGAAGAGTTTAAAGAATAGTGGAAATAATTCCTCTCTAAATGTCTCAGCAGTGAAGCAACTAGGGCCTGGGCTTTTCTAGGTGGGTAAGTTTTTAATTGCATTTTCAGTATCATTGATTAACATTGGGTTGCTTAAAATTTTTAGGTCTTCTTCATCCAACTTTGGTAATCCATGCATATCTAGATATTTGTCCATTTCTTCTGCGATTTCCAACTTATTGGTTTGTATGTTCTCAAAGTAAGTATTGATGATCATTTGAATTTCTGCTCAGTCCATCATAATTTCACCCTTTTCATTATTAAATCTGTGGACTTCGGTCTTTTCTTTAATTTTTTTATAAAGTTGGCTAAGAGTTCGTCAATTTGTTTATTAGTTTGAAGAACAAACTCTTTGATTTATTGATATTTTGTATAATTCTCTTTGTCTCAATTGCATTGATTTCTGCTCTGATTTTTCTAATTTCTTCCTTTGTATGAACTTGGGGTTTGTCCTACTCTCCTTTTTCTAAAAATTTGAAGTTATCATCAGGATGTTTAATCAAGCTCACTCTCTTTTCCTAATAGGGGTATTCACTGCTATGAATTTTCTTCATAAGACTGCTTTCATTTTATCCCATAGATTCTGATGTGTTATACTGACATTGATATTTAATTGTAGAAACTATCTAATTTCTTAATTTCCTCTGTGACCCATGAGTTATTCAGAGGTGTGTTGTCCAATTTCCATGTGTTTATGAAATTCTTGCGGTTTATTTTGCTGTTGATTTCCTATTTCATCACACTATGGTCTGATAATATACAAGGGATAACTTCAATTCCTTTGCACTTACTTAAACATGTTCTATGAGTAAGTACATGGTCTATTTTAGAGTAAAACCTGTGTGCAACTGAAAAGAATGTGTATTCTGATTTTGTGGGGTGAAACACTCTGTAACCTCTGTTCAGTTCAATTGTTCAAGAGTTTGATTGAATTGTAGTATTTTGTTATTTTGTGTCTCATCAATCTATTGTGACAGTGGGTTATTGAGGTCTTCCACTACTATTGCTTTAGGGATTATTTGATTTTTCATGTCTGCTAATATTTTCTTTATATAGTTGTGTGCACTAGCATTCTTCCTCTTGTATCATTTCTTTTACAAAGATGTAGTGACCTTCTTTGTCCTTCTTAATCAGTGTTGGTTTGAAATCCATTTGATATGCAAATAGGATAGTTATTCCTGCTTTCTTTCAAGTTCCTGTCACGTGGAGTATTGTTTTCCACACTTTAACTTTCAGTATATGAATTTCTGTTTGAATTAAGTGTGTGTTCTTGTATGGAGCATATTGTTGGATCTTGCTTCTTGAACCATTTCTTTTAACTGGTGAATTGAGACCATCAACATTGATGGTTAGAACTGACATGTATTGGCTTATTCTAGTCGTGACATTTTCCTGTTGTTGGATTCTCCCCTCTGCCTTTAATTGCTTGTCATTCCTGATGGATTCATTTTGCTAGGCCTTCTGTTACCCTCATTGCCTTTTCTGGGTATATTGTTTAAAAATGTTTGGGGTGCTGGTTTGGTAGTCAGCAACTTCCTCAGTGGCTCTTTGTTATGAAATTTCTCCATTGTTATGAATTTCTCCATTAACTTTGAAAGATTATTTTGCAAAGTATATCAGTCTGGGTTGGAGGTTGTTTCTTTTAGGGCTTGACATACTTCACTTGAGGCTCCTTTTGACTTGAGAGCTTATGTTGAGAAGTCTGATGTGATTCTGGTGGACTTTCCTTCATATGTGATTTATTTCTTTTCTCTAATTGCTTCTAAATTTTGTTCTTCTTTTGAGTTTCTGGAATCTTGACAATTACATACATCTTTGAGATGGCTAGTTAGAGTCCTATATGCCTCATTTATTTGTATGTCAAGTTCTTTTCATCTACTTGGGAAGCTTTCTGCTATTACTTCCATAGGCAGTTTTTTATGTGGGCTGCACTCTCTGATTTCTTCATTGACTTCAATTAGTCTTACGTTATTCTTCTTTGCATCACCTAGCAGCTAGATTGTTTTCTTGTGGTCCCTTGCTATTTTTTAGAAATCTTTCTTTTCCTGGTCAGTAATTGCAATCCCATCGTGCATACCTGAAATTCTGTCCTCCCATTGGCTCATTCTGTTGCTTAAAATTTCAATGGTGTTTTTAATTCCTGGATATCCATTTTCATTTGTTTTATGGATTCCATTTGTTTCTTATGCTGGGATTCTATCATCTTCCTCTGATCCTCCATTTTAAAAAATCTGTGTCTGCCCTAGATTTATTAATCATATTTTGCACTATGAGCACAATTGCTGTTGTTATCTGAGATATTATTTCTGATTTCATTTTTTCCAGATCCTTTTTCATTTCCAGTTCAGGAAGTCCAGGTGGTTAGTTATCAGATTGTTCCATCTTATTTCCCTTTGGGATTGCCTAAGGTGATCTGGAAGTCTCATTCTGAGACTTTTTTACCTGTCTTCTCATTTCAACAGTTGCAGCCTTTGTCAAGCCAACTTTTTGCTCAGTCAATGGTCTTCAATTCTCAGCAAGCCACCCAGCAGCCTTTCTCTGCTGCTCACTAGTGTACCATTTCCTGGGTTCAGAATGGTGGCCTTCTGGCTCACTGGACTGTCATGTTGTCCAGGTGGGGTTTTTTTCCTGGGTTCTGTGTACATTTGGGATGGTATCTGGCCATGTCTTTGGCTAGAGCTTGCCCCACTATGTAGTTCTTGTCTGGAAGGGCCTCTGGCTAGGGTCTCCACCCAGTTACCAATGGTCTCAGGGAGTGCCTCTGGATGTTGCTTGTATATCTGTACAGCTCCTTTCTGGGTGGTCTTTGGCTGGGGGTGTGATCCCAAGTGGCTGGGTTCAGGGTGGGGTCCTGGATAGACCTGCCTGAAGCCACACCACTCTGATCCACACCAGATTCTCCCTGGAATCTTTGGACTGTATTAAGTAATTTATATGTCTTAATGGTTTAATCAAATTTGAAAAGTTTTCAACCACTATATATTCAGATCCTTTTCTGTCCTCTTTTCCCTTTCCTCTTTATCAGAATCTCCCACTACTTATATATTAGTGTGCTTGATGATGTTTCTTGGGTCTCTGAGATTCTGGGGTTTTTTTTTTGTTTGTCTTTTTCTTTCAGACACAATGATGCTTACTGAATAATCTTCAAGTTCATTTGTTCTTCTGCCAATTTATATCTGCTGCTGATTCATATCATGACTTTTTTACTTCAGTTATTTTCTTCTACAGATTTTATTTATTAATATGGTCTATTATTTTAAGTACGCTTTTAGTGTTAAGCCAACCTTACATTCCTCAGATAAATTTCCTTTACTTATACCTTTTCTACACTTGACCTTAGCCAAAAGACCAAGGAGCAATAGTTAAATCTTTTGCAATTTCTGAAATGTAGATATAGATAAACACAAATGGGTGAAAACACATGCACAAAGTGTTTATTGTGGTACTATTTACGCCAATGAAAAAGAAAATGTAATAAAAAGAATATGACTAAATAAAGCTCACTATGTCCATCCCATGGAAAGAAGTAGATCAGCAAAAACTGACATAAGAGGAGGTCCAAAATAGTTTAATGTGTATAATATATGTTGCATGATGCCAATTTTAGAAGACAATAATTTAAAATGCAAAATACTCTTGTTCATATGCATATGATACACAAAAAAAAGTTCTGGAAGCCTACACATAGAAGGGGTTATGCCTGGAGATGTTGCTATAGCCAGGTCCTACATCTTACCTAGGTCTCACTGAGGGCTTCTGCAGACCCACTTTTTTGAAGAGAGATATTTTTCTGTTGGAGGTTGCAATTATCTTTTGTTCCTTGATCATTTCCACTGTAGTATCTAAAAATAATCACAAAGTTGTTAAAACTGTGTGATAATAAAATATTGTAGAGGATAAGAAGGGAAAAGTAGCAAGGGCATTTATAGAACATTAATGTGCATGTGGACATTTATAAGACATTAAGTGCATGTGAGAAAACTACTGTTCCCACAACGATTTCCATCTCAAAGCCTTTCAAGTTAAGCACAGACTAGAGTGATTCACACCCCTGACACTGACCTCAATCTAGCTATTTTTGCTAAGTGTGTTGGCCATTAGCCTGGAACCAACCTACTCACAGAGACAGCAAAGACCACTTCCACTTTACTTTCCTTATTGCATTTGTCAATACCAAATGTCACCCCCCACAAACGATCCAGTTTTACTGAACTACACACCACATAATGTCTTCTTTAAAACCACAGGTATCCCATCTGACACCCTTCCAGTTTCCCTCTGATATTCTCACTTTTTTTAAACATCAAATTTACAGAATGTTGACCTCATCTTCAGTATACCTGCTGCCTTTCTGCTTTAACATATCTTTTCATTCCAAAGACTTTGCTTCCACTAAAATTCTTTTCCAGTATACTATACATAATTCAGAGTGAATATCTGGTTCTCTAGTGCCATTTAGAAATAATTATTCCAAGAAATATATTACAGTGTTTTGAATAATAATAAATTCCATCGATCTCAGTATTATAAGAAGTTTTCATAGTTTATTTTGTGGAAGAAAACATGGATTATGAACTTATGAAGGGGAAGGATGGTGCATTACATCCATAAATGAGGATGTGACCTTTTTAATGGAGTCAATGCCTTAAAGGGTTTATTAAATATAATGTCCACACAGGAAATTGTGTGTGATGTGGTTTTAGTTGCAGTGATAGCATGTAAAAAAATTGAAAGCAATATGAATACATACTGGATTTTAAAATGCAGTTGAATACAAGAAAAATGAAATTCACAGTATGGAAGAATAAATATTAAGAGGAAAAAATAAACCACACACCCCCAGATAAAACACCTCCTAAGACTTAGAAATGCTGAACAAAAAAATAACATTTAAAGTCATTAATAAACTTCTAAGAAGTTAAAACATAGATTAGTGAAAAAGAGAATGCTAACCACCAGAAAGATAAGTGATACCATACCTGCTCTACAGGCATTTGTAATTTGGCAGCCACAGTGAAACACCAAGCAAAGCCACGGAGCTTTTAAAAATGCAAAAACTCTCAGCACTGCATTCACTCTTAAGGCACCTAGCAGTTATGTAAATTTCTATAGAAAAATTTAGCAAAGCTCTTTATATAAAAAAATTTAGCAAAGCTCTGTATTTTCAGAAGCAACTAAGGATGTCACAAGAACAGAAGTGAAGATTTATAAAACAGTGGGACACAGGGAAAGAGTCAGAAACTTGCAACAACCATGGTATTTGAAATTGTTCACACTCCCTTCCCCACCCCACATCAATATGGCCTTGATGGCCGCAGACCACACTCTTGATGTAGAAGGCCAACACCAGAAGGAACAGTGGAGATCTTATTTTTTATAAATTGTGTTTAATTGATCCAAATTGTTCTTCCTGGAAGGACTTGTGGAAAGATTTGCCTTTATCTTGTCCTGGGGTGTTTACAGAAGTGGGGGGATTCCCAAGTGACATATGCCAAAATCACTTTAAAGTATGAATAATAGGCCACAGATACTTAGGAATATGGACAACAGTTGGGACATAATTAGGTAGGCAAAACTGTTGGAAAAGGAGATGTATCTGGAAATATGAATTTTTGTAGCCCCTATATATAACTGAGAGCCCCATAATTGTCTCAATCAGGGAAGCTGAGGTAGGAACATAACAATCCCAGTATGGACAAATTAGTGAATTAGTGAGGCCCTGTTTCAAAATAAAAACTGGAAAAAAAATGATGAAAGATGTATCTCAGTGTGAAGGCCCTACTTTCACTCTCCATTACTACCAAAAAAATGTCCATACACATGTCTGGAGCTGGATGTGTGCCAAGAATGGTACTGGAAAACTCAAAACTTTCCTCTCTGAGTGAATTTTATATTTCAAGAAAATGAGAAGTAGAGAGTAAGGTAAAGTTGTCAGTGGTCTGGTTGAGAGTTGAAAGAGTATTCCAATACAGACAAAATATTTTAGTCTACTAATCAGAAAACACTACTAGAGCGTGGTTCTTTTTGAGTTTTGTCTCCAAAAAAATTTTAAGAAACTATCAAAACATTAATTGGCCACAAGTTAAGAGAACATAGGTTTCAGAGGGTACATGATAAAAAATACAGACTTTGCAAAAATAATTGAGAGAGTTCTGCCATATCATGGGTAAATGTGCTTCAAACCTGGGGAATATCTGTGTGGACCAGAGTGGTGTGACTCCAGGCAGAGCCCAGCTGGGGCCCTACCCTGACCCCAGAAGTGCAGGCACACATGCCCAAGCCACTGGCCCACCTACATAAAAGAGCTGCACAGGCATGAAAGCTTCATCCAGATTCTGGAATACCATCAGCCACAGCCAAGAGCCTGCCTGGAAAAGAAATACACAGATGCACAAGCAACAGCTGGAGGCTCACTCTAATACTATTCACAAGTACCTGGAGACCCTAGTCAGAAGCCTATGTAGACAACAGGAACTGGGATACACAGCACCCAAAAAAACGCCACCAGACAACAGCTACATAGGGACCTTAGTGGTAGGCACACCTAGATACAAGCCCCAGCCAGAATCCCACACAGACAACAGATCAGCTCAGGGATATAGACAGCCACCATTCTACACCCAGGAATGGGTGTACTTGGGAGCAGCAGAGTAAAGATTGCTAGGTGGATTGCTGAGAATTGAAGACAATTGAGGAAACAAAAAGTTACCTCAAAAATGGCACATAAACTGCAAGTGTTGAAATGAGAAGACATGGAAATAAGTCTTAAAACCAGACTTCCAGACTACCTAAGGCAACTCCAAAGGCAAATGAGATGGAACAATCTGACGCTCAACCACCTGGACTCCTTGAACTGGCAACAAAAGAGGATTTGGAAAAAAATGGAATCAGAAATAATTTCTCAGATAACAGCAGAGATTGTGCCCAAAGTACATGTCATGATTAGTAAATCTAGAGTGGACATAGACTTTTAAAAATAGAGGAGGAGCTGAAAAACTTGGTGGAATATTAAAAAATGGAATCCATAAAAAGATGAAAACAGATTTCGAGGAGATTAAAAATTCCACTAAAAGTTTATACAGCAGAATGAGCCAATGCGAGGACAAAATTTCAGATAAAGAAGGTAGGATAGCAATTATTGACCATAAAAATAAAATATCTTAAAAATAGTAAAGGACCATGAGAAATCAATTCAGCAGCTGATGGATGATGCAAAGAAAAGAACACAAAATTGCTTGGAGTCAGTGAAGAAACGGGAGACAGTACAAACATAAAAATCCTGTTCACAGAAGTAATAGCAAAAAACTTTCAAAATTGGGGAAAAGAACTTGACAAACAGATAACTGAGGCTTATAGGATGCCAACTAGCTGTAATGAAGTAAAACTACCCATAGGCATATAATAGTTAGTACTCCAGAAACCAAAGAACAGAACAAAATTCTACAAGCAGCAAGAGAAACGAAACAAGTCACATACAAAAGAAAGCCCATAAAAATCACAGAAGATGTCTCAATACAAACCCAGAAGGCAAGAAGAGCATAGAATAATGTATTTCAATGCTAAAGGAAAACAACCTCCAACCCAAATTGATTTACACTACAAAACTGTCTTTCAAAATTGATGGAGAAATAATATATTTTCGTGAAAAAAAGGTCTTAGGCGCTTCATGAATACTACACCAGCACTCCAAAAAATTTGAAAAAATATCTTGGAAAAGACAAAAAGGATCACTACTCCAGGAAACCCAACAAATGAATCCATCAGGCATGACAAGAAATTAAAGGCAAAAGGAGAGAATTCAACAAAAGGAAAAACTTAGGACAAGAATAAGTCAATGCATATCAGTTATAATCATCAATATGATCTCAATTCACCAATCCAAAGATATTGCATGGCAGAATAAGTCAAGAAGCAAGATCCAACAATATTCTGCAACAAGAAACACACTTAATTCAAACAAATTCATAGACTGAAAGTTAAAGGATGGAAAACAATGCTCCATGCCACAGAACCCGCCCCAAAAAAGCAGTAGTAGCTACACTCTTTGCAGATCAAATGGATTTCAAACCAATACTGATTAAGAGAGAAATGAACACTAATCCTTGTAAATGGAACAATCCAACAGGAAGAAACGAAAATCATAAATATATATGCACCAAACACAAGTTCAACCAACTATATAAAACAAATATTAATGGCTAAGAAAAATCATACAAACACTAATGCAATAGTAGTGGGGGACCTCAATACCCCATTGTCACAAATAGATATATCAACCAGACAAAAAATAAACCATGAAATAATGAAACTCAATCAAACTCTTGAACAAATGTACTTAACAAATGTTTACAGTGTTCCACCCCACAAAATCAGAATTCACATTCTTTTCAGCTGCACATGGTTCATTCTCCAAATTGGACCACATACTGGCTCACAGGAAATGCTTAGGTAAGGGCAAAGAAACTGAAGTTATCCCCTGTATATTATCAGACCACTGTGTGATAAAATTAGAGATCAACAGCACAAGAAACCACAATTTCATAAACACATGAAAATTGAACAACACACTCCTGAATAACCAATTGGTCACAGAGGAAGAAATCAGACCATTTCTACAATTAAATGACAATAATACAATGTATCAGAATCAATGGGACACAGTGAAAGTGGTCTTACAAGGGAATTCACAGCAGGGAATACACATATTAGGAAGTCAACATGAGCTCAATTAAAGACCCCAACGCTGGACCTCAAACTTCTAGAAAAAAAAGAGCAGGAAAAATCCAAAGGTCATACAAGAGAGAAAATTATAAAGTTCAGGGTTGAAATGAAGGCAATGGAG